CCCTGCTCCTTGCCCATTTCCCTCCCTGCCTGTCCCTGCTCCTTGCCTATTTCCATCCCTGCCTGTCTCCACTCCCTGCTTGCTTCTGCCCAGCCCAGCAATGGTTCCATCCACAGCCACATCTACCCGGGACCGGAGCCCTTTGGGTGAAGGGGAGGGGAGTTTTCCCCCCTGCCAAACATGCTGACAACCAGCAGCTGTGTTTTGGAGCCCACCTGACTCTCAGTGTCCCCTCTGCCCGCCCGGTGTTCCCCACAGGCCTTCATCTCCACCGTGCTCTCCAAGCTGGCATTCCTGGGCGCTGCCGCCTGCTTCGTCCTCTCCGGGGTGGGTTTGACCAACGGCCCCCTCTGCTTCTACAATGCCTCTGAGCACAGCCTCGGGCACGGAGCCCTCTGGGGTTACCCCTTCCCGGATGCTGCTGGCCAGGTGCCTGATGCCAGGTGAGGGGCTGAATCACCAGTGCTGCCTCACTGGTTTATTGCTAATTAAGTCAGTGTTAATTATGGTGTGGGGGAGTGTGTGCTTGCAAGACTCTGGTAGCTCGAGGGGTGCCCACCTTCCAGGAATTTCTACATGGTGCTTTGCACCTCCACCACCCCCCTGACCCCACTCGCCCTCAGGCTGAAGGACGGGATGTCTGGGACACCCCCCCGTGGAGGAAAGCGATGGGATTCCTGACCTGCCATGGGCAGCATCCTGCATCTCCTCCCCTCCCCGTCACACAGGGCTAAGACCTACCTCTACGATCGGCACACCTGGAGCATCTGCCTGGAGCCAGAGGGCATTGTGGCCTGGAACGTCGTCCTCTTCTCCATCCTGCTGCTCGTCAGCGTGGCCGAGATGGTGCTGTCCTTCCTCCAGATCCTCAACGGCTGCCTCGGCTGCCTCTGTGGCCTCTGTGAGGGCAAGTAGGGCCCAGGGGCAGTGCCAGGAGGCTGCGCTCGGAGCAGGTGTCACCCCTGGTGTCACTTGGCTGGTGGCACACGCTGAACTGGAGGTATGGTAGGAACTGTGACACCAGCCCTTTGGGGTTGGAAAGCAGCCAGGTGACGGATGGAGGTGAGGACTCGGCTCATGGCACCCCAGCATGAGCCCAGCGGCTTCCTTGGCTGCCTCTACCCACCCCAGTGCAAAATGTGACACAATAGTGTTTGTAGAGACAAGAGCGGGACACTAATTTAATTTTTTTTTATCAGTTCGGTATTTAGGGCAGCTGGGCCGGTGTTTGTCACCTGCAGAGGGCAGGAGAGGGGAAGGAGACCAGAGAAGCAGAGCTGGGCTCTGGCTGGAGCACTTGGATAGTCCTGCTGGAGGAGGCAGGGCTGGAATTGAGGTGTAGCCCCCCAAAGTTCCCCCCCCCCCCCCACAAATGTCAGGAGCAGCTGCTGCTCATCCCCAGGACCAGGACCCCACTGCTGTGCTTACAGGGGGGTCACTGGTTTCAGTGCATCTCCCACTCCCCTAAACCTTCACAGGGACCCAGTGTGGGCCTGAGCCTGCCCGTGCTGGGAGGGTGTTTGCCCCCCACTGACAAGGGCCAAGGAAAGCAGTGGTGGTGGCAGCAGATTAAAAACACCAAAGCACTGAGCCAGATTAAACAGTAACTGGGCCATTGTGGTGGTTTAACCCCAGCTGGCACCTGAGCACCACACAGCCACTCCCTCACCCCCATCCCATGGGATGGATGGGGAAAGAGTCAGAGGCGTAAAAGTGAGAAGACTCATGGGTTGACATAAGAGCAGTTTAATAATTGAAATAATAATAATAAATTGTAATGTAAAGGAAAATAATAAAGAGATAGAAATAGAACCCAAGACAGACAAGTGATGCAACACAAACATCTCTTTATTGTCAGCCCAAATCCAAAACCCAGCCCTATCCCAGCTGTGATGAAGGAACTGAACTCTACTCCAGCCCAAACCCTCACAGTGACTTCAGGAGACCACTGAGAAAAAGCCTTTTCATGCAAAAGAAACTATTTAACGTTATATAACATGAAACATTTATATAACATATAAAACATTTATATAACATAACTATTTATAACAAGGGGAGGGGAAACCCCCGGAGCAGGGTGGTGGTACCAGATGTGGCACAGCTGGAGCACCGTGTCCCCCTGACCCAGCACACAGGGATGGCACAGGGTGCCCCCAGCTGCCTCCTTTTGGCATTGCTGTTGCCCCCAGTATCTGTTTCATGAGGTGGCTCTTGCTGGAAAGGAGCCGGGGGCTGTGCGGGGCGCACAAGCCTCCCCACCAACCGATACATAATTAAAAAAATAACAATAAAAGTGAGATCAAATCCAGCCTGGGGACGGTAACACTGCTCTGCGTGATGTGGCCGTGCTGGACTGGGGGGGGGTGGGACCCCAGGCAATGGGTTGATGTCCTGGGATCTGGCACTGGGGGGTGGGGGGAGCTGGCCTGGGGGGTCACTAGGACACGGGGCAGCTCCTTCGGCCCCGCTTCCCGTGGCGCCGGGGGCTGCGGCCCTGGAGGGGAGCAGTGGCTGTCACGGGGATGTTCTGGAGCACATCGCGCAGCGTGAACATGCTGAAGGAGATCTGCTCGTAGGGCGACCTCGTCCCGTTCTCGTAGAGGCAGGCGAAGGCGATGGCTGTGCCACCGGCCACTGGGGCCTCCGTGTAGGGCAGCTCCATGTAAGCCAGGTCTGAGTAAGCGCTCGGGCCCTCATAGATGACCCAGGGCTCTGTCCAGCTCTCTGCATCCCTGGGGAAGGTGCTCAGGTGAACCCCCATGTTGACCCGCGACATGGAGCTGGTGGGGTGGGAGTAGAGGATCCATGTCGGTGCTTGGAAGAAGGGAGTGGGGCTGCGGGTTGCCACAGGGTCCCCCTGGGCCGAGGTGACACTGTGGGCTTGTTGGTGATGCCCTGGGGTAGGACAGTCCTCATCGGGCTCGTCTGGCTCGTGGTGGCTGCCAGTGGCCACAGTGGGCAGCTCACCTGCTGCCTTCCGGGTGGGCAGGTACCGAAATCCCTGGAACATTCCCGGGGGCAGCCGTCGAGCTGAGTCCCGGAGGGGCAACACAGAGTCCTGGGAGATGGTGGGGACATACACAAATGGTGCTGGGAAGCCGATGACACTGCCATGACAGCCATGGGGGGGCTCGACCAGCCGCTGGACCAGCTGCCCCCTGTGGAAGACGGCCCCGTCATCCGTGCTGAGCGCCTGGACCCTGAAGCCCAACGGGCTGCGAGCGTTGCAGTACAGGACGTTGGATCCATCCTCCTCATCCACCGAGACCAGCTGGCACTCGCCCGTCTGCAGGTTGGGGATGAACTCCCCGAAGCGCCAGCCGTGGCCGTGGTCGTCGCTGTAGAAGGCGAAGGAGTGTGGGGTGGTCTTGCAGAGCTGCCCGAAGCACTCCTTGCAGTCGATGTGGTAGCTGTAGGCGGGCACCAGCAGCCGGCCGGAGCGCAGCTGGATCCCGTGCCCAGGGCCCAGCGCGAACGTCGCCCAGTCTGCGGAGCGGAGATGGGATGCGGTGAGGGTGGAATGGGCAAACAGTGACCACCACGGTACCCTTCCATGCCGCCCAGTGTGGAAGGGTCTCCAGGGTTTCCCCTGTCCAGCCAAGCCAGGTGGTGGGGCGGGAGGGCAGCCTCGTGCTGCCCGGTTGTCCTCACACATGGTCCTACCCTTGGCTGTGGGGAGGTCTCCATCTTCTTCCTACCCCAAGCGATATAGATACTCCCTCCATCCCCTCTCCCCTCTGCTTAAGGTTCTCTTCCACCCTCTTGGAAGCCTGTGGGCTTCCTACTCCAAGGTCACCTCCAGCCACACCACAGGTGGCTCCAGGAGGCCAAAACCCACGGTCACCTCCTTGCTGGCCATCCTTCCCCCTCCCCAGCCCTCTCCAGCTGGGTACCTTTGATGGCTGCACCAATGACCTGCTGTGTCAGGTCCGTGGCTGTGCTCCAGCTCAGGCCCTGGTCAGCGCTGGTGACGCAGCAGAGGCGGGTGACATTCTGGCCAGTGACAATCTGGTAGGCTTCGGGTGTCCTGCCCAGCACCGTGATGAAGAAGAGGAAGAGGGTGCCTGTGAATTCATCATAGAGTGGGCAGGGGTTCATCGACCGGTGGTGCTGCAGCGTCGCCGTCTCCAGCACGCGCATGTCTTCCCACTGACCAGGGAGGAGGAGGAGGAGGAGAGAATGGAAAGGGACGAGACAGGTGAGGAACATCCTACTTTTTCACCCAGAGGAACTGTGGCTGCCCTGCCCCTGGAAGTGTTCAAGGCCAGGTTGGATGGGGCTTGGAACAACCCGGTCTCTAGTGGCAGGTGTCCCTGCACAAGGCGGGGGGTAGAACGAGATGACCTTTGAGGTCCCTTCCAACCCAAACCGTTCTGGGATTCCATGATTCACCTCACCCACCCCTCCATGCAGCTGCCTCCAGGAGCTCAGCTGTGCCACACACAAGCAGCGAGGACAACCACCCATCCGTCCCCACGTCCCCAGCCCTGCGTGTCCCCCCCAGCCCGGGGCGTGCCCCCTGTCCCACCTCCACGTAGCTGCCGTAGATGGTGCCGCGGCGCAGCACCAGCAGGTTGGCGTGGGCGTCGTCGGCGCTGAGCCGCTCCTCGGCGAACGCCAGCAGCTTGGCCACACAGGGCAGGTAGAGCAGGGCGGGCACGCGGTAGGTGACACCATTGGATTCCCTCTCAAAGAGCACGGTCCGGGCAGGGAAGTGCCGGGAGCTCATGGGGTCTGCAGCAAAAGGATGCAGCCCCACCACAGTGGGTTGGTGAAGGGGGGGGGATCGGCTGCTGGGCACGGCCAGGGGCACTGGGTTGTCCTTGGAAGGGCTGGGGATTTAACTTGGTGGGTTTGGGCTTGGGGAAGCCCCAGGGAGCAGGGGCAGGGCTGGGATGGAGAGAGGCTGAACATGCACTGCTGTGGTGGGGAGTCCCTGCAGCTGAAAGGTTGGCCACGACTTTGGGTACCAGCAAGGAGGCTGACCTGGGGGCTCTAAAACAAAATTAAATAAAATTAAAACGATCTTCAAGATGCTCTTCTGGGAAATCAAGGCCAGTGAGCAAAGGAGCTCCCTGCTCCCTTCAAGTGGGCACTGGGAGGGCAGAGCCCACCTCTGCACACACAGGACCCCCCAGATCAGCCCGGGCTCATCAAGAGGGGGTCAGGGAGTGTTTTGTCCTGTACCTCTGGTGCCTCCAGCACAATGAACCCAGTGGGCTCCTTGTTCCCCCCCTCTGTGGGGGGAGCCTGGGGTGCACAACACAGACTGCAGGGTCCCTGGCCGGGCTGTCCCTGCAGCAGTGGGTGCGAGCTGTCCCCAGGTGCCCTTCCTTTGGGGACAGCAGGAGTAACAAACACCACTGTCAGCTGTCCCCAGGTTACGTCTCTACGTGTCCCTGGGTATTATTACCACAGGAAGAGATGGGCACCCCACTCCAGGCACAGCTGGAGCAGCCAAGGCTAACTTTCACCAGCGGTTTAATCAGGAGCTTTTGCTGATCTAACACCCCCCAGAGAAAGCAAAGGCACTCACCGGGTTCTGCTCGGCTGGGCTGTCCCCTCTGTCCCTCGGCCCCAGCAGCTCCCGCCGTTGCTGGGTTTCTGCAGAGCTGCCTTCTCACTGCTTGGCTGCCACCCCTCTCCCCTTGCAGGGTCCCCCCACCGATGGGTCACGGGGCTCCCGCGGTGGTGGTGGCCAGGAAAAATCCCTGAGTCAGCAGTGGAGCTGCTGGTGCAGTGCCCGTGGCACAAAGGCACCGTTATGGGCCCGGGCACAGCCGGGGGCCCCGCGGCTGCTGAGCCTCCTTCTTTGGACCCCCGGGGATGGGATGCAAGAGGAGCCATGATGGGGGAATTACATCTCCTGCCTCAGTTTCCCTCCTCCTGCAGGTTGGGAGGTGCTGCAGCCCATGTTCACCATGGTCCGCCCTGCTGTGAGCTCCCCAGCCTGGGGGTTGTGGTCTGGAGGGTCCCAGCCCTCCCAGGACCCCCAGCCTTCCCAGGACCACCAGCCCTCCCAGGACCCCCAAACTTCCCAGGACCCCCAAACTTCCCAGGACCCCCAAACTTCCCAGGACCCCCAGCTCCACCCAGACACCCAACCTTCCCAGGATCCCCAGCCTTCCCAGAACCCCCAGCCCTCCCACGACCCCCACACTGCCCAGGACCCCCACCTCCACACAGGTCAGCTACTAAGAAACTATTTTTACACCTGTCTCTGTCATCAACTTAGCTTAAAGGGCTTGACAAAATTCACAGGGCAGGTCATGGATCAGAAGCTCCAAGGGGAAAACTGACGCAGAGGCTGCAGAACTGCCCCTGAGGGGCCCCTGGGATGGCTCGGGGTGACCACGTGTGGCTCTGGCTGCTCCACCCTGCTGGCACAAATGCCTCCTGAGCCTCGGGTTAAGAGGGTTCCTGGAGCAGGGAACCGTGAAAATGCTGTTAATCTCTGTTGTTGCTGCTGGACACCTGTGCTGTGAGGAGCACAGGTTGCAGGGCAGGTTAACCCCTGCCTCAGCTGCTTCCCTGATGGATTTAAACAGAGTTGAAGAAAATCCTGGGTCTGCTTCCCACCCTGCTCCCCAGACAGTGTCCCTCATACTTCCCAGCTGGAGCTGCTGTCCCACAGCTTCAGTGCTGCCCTGAGGCAACACTGCCAGCCAAGCAACCCCAGATCCATCCTCCCCATCCAGCCACCTGTGGCCCTGCTGCTGTGGCAGTGCCAGGAACGTTGGTCAAGGTGGCAGCACCAGCCCTGTGGATGTGGTGACCGCTTGTCACCAGTTCCCAATACACCCCTCGGTGCCAATAGTGCCAATAAACTTAGAAGCTGAGCTGGTGTCTCCTACTTGCACCAGCAGGGGTGGCAGTGGGGACCTGGATGGCACCAGTGTGCCCAAAGCAGCGCCTCACCCCATCCCCTCCTAATCTGTGCTGGAGAGTTCGGCCAACGCAGCAAGGGGAGACCCAACAAACCCTATGCTGGTAAAGGCCTTCAGGAATGCTGATCCCAAAGGACCTTCCCTGCCCACAGACCCTCGCACAAGAGAGAGGGGCAAAGCCACAAAATGTCCTCCCAGAGGAGCACCAAGGTGTCCCATGTGGGGCAGAGGCTGCCACACCTCGTGACACAGGTGAAAGGAACATCTCACATGCCAGGGAGAAAGGCAGCCAGTCAGCATGCCTGGCTTTGGGACAAATGCTTGGGACTCCCATCCCGAGGGCACCCCCCGCAGTGCATGGTGGTTACTCCTCATTGAGCATGGATGCTGCTGGATGGGACATCCAACACGTCTCCTTCTCCTTTGAGAGCTGCATCCCCTTGTTGTGCTCTCCTTGTCTCCCTCCCCCTCCCCTAAACCCAAAAAATCAGGACTTGCTCCAGTGAGCTGTGACCAGACTGGATGTAGTGATGGATATCAAATGAAATTAAAGCAGGCAAATGATCACACCTGTGATTAATGATTAAGAAGCTGGAATGTCTATGCCAGCTGCAGCCTGCCCAGCACTCCCCAGCTGGGAGCAGGCAGGAAGGATCACGCAGGATCTGAGCAATGCAGAGCCTTTGGCTCAAGGTCCCCAAAAAGGGACCAACCACCAACTCGGTGACCCTGAACAAAGCCCCCACTGCCTCCCCCTCACGTACAAGAGTCCTGTCTTGTGTGGGTCAGTCACATGCCAGACATGGGGTGATGCAAAGCAGTGGGAAGCCACAGTGGGTTGTCACGTGTCCTAGTTGGTATTTGGGAGCTGCATCCTCTCCTGGAGACTGGTCCATGGTAATGGCAACCCCAGCTGCTTCCCCTTCTTGTGCGGGTGTTGGACAGTGTAAAGGTAGGATGTGTACTGGAGCTCTGGAATGACCATTTTCTGGCAGGTTCTCAGAGTCCTGTTGTCCAAGTCCTGTCTGAGGTTGTACCCCAGGATATCTGCAGCTCCTGACTGGTAAGGCTGGAGAGCTTTGTTCCTGATGTGACCCTTCCCCACTGGCTCCTGCTCCAAGAGACAGGTCTCCATGAGCTCCTTCTGTCTGGTTCGCAGGTGATCCACCTCCTTCTCCAGCACCTCCAGCCCTATGGTCTCCTCAATTCTCCTCCAGAAGCTCTGGTTGAAGTGCAGGTAGAGCTTCCAGTCCAGTGAGCACCACGCTTTTATCCGCTCCTCACTTTCTGGAGTCAAAGTCTGGACAGTGTCCTGACTTCTGGAATTGAGCTTGAAGTAAATCACATCATCCAGATCCCAGCACAAAGTGTGCTTCAAGAGGATCATGGACTCATCAAAGTAGTCCGCTATAAGGATGAGGTGGAAGTTCTGCTCGATCTCCTCGAGGATGGCCTGGGTGTACTTTGTGTCATCCTCTGCGTTGTTGTCGTAGCCAAAGTCAAACCACATAATATTCCTGGCGTAGATGTTCTGCCTGTAATCCGCTGGGTGGTAATACCTCGTGGGTGACGCCAGGTACTCGTTCACGTCCTTGGAGCTCCTGAAGGCAGGGACATCATTCTTGTAGTAGATGTAGGAAGACTCCAGTAGAGGAATGGGGTTCCTCAGGATGGAGAAGTAGAAGGTGTTGGGTGCCATCACCTTTTGCACCTATTTGTGGGAGGAAGAAGAGGTTATTCCGGAGGCACTGCTGTCCCAGCCAGGTTTCTCCGCAGGTGTTGTGGCTCTTTCTTACCTCCGAGGGGTTAAACCGCAGGTGGTTGCACATGATGTTGTAGTTCTGGCCTATGAGTTCAAAATCCTCCACAAAGTGGGCCCTGAAAATCCTCGGGTAGCCGAGGTGGAAGAGCTGGCCAGCAGGGAGGGCGACGGTGAGGTTGTACCTCTCTGCAAACCTAAACATGATGTTGAGCACGGTGCTGCTGGCTGTCTTGTGGGTCTTGAGGAACATGACGTTTGTCTTGGCATGGCACGGCGTGGGAGGGGTCAGCAGTGGCTGTTTGAGGCTCTGCAGGAAGGCGACAGTTTGGTCCTCGTGGCTGTTGAAGATTCTGCAGGAAGGCGACAGATGGGCCAAGTGGCCTCTGGGGCAAGTGGCCTCTCCGGTGCTGCACCCCATCTCTGAGACCTTGCACAGCCAAACCCAGGGGCTCCTCTGACACCACACCTCCAGCTGGTGCAAGGCTGCACCCAAGCCAGCCCCATCCCTCCAGCGCAGATGTCAAGAGTTTCCTCTCTCTCCCGTTTCTCCTTTACCCAAAGGCTTCAGCTCAATCCCTTTTTCATTCCCTATCCAGCTGATTTTGCCCTGAAGACCTGTATTTTGGCTAATTTGATTCCTTACCCACCCAAACATGGACCTAGCACTTATTTTGGGGACACTGCCTTTCCAGTATTAGCCTAAGCCTCATGAGAGCTGAATCAGGTGTCACAGTTAGGTCCCAGCTGCCTGGGCACACAAAGCCTTGCTTCTGCTTCACTTACCCGTAATCCTTATCCTTCATGTGGAAGAATCCTGACAGGAAGACGAGTCCCAGCAAAAGGCTGAAAATGATGAGACATCTGATATGCCTGGAAAAACAAGAAGAGTTTCAGTGGATTTTTATCTGATAGTCCTTCCCCGAACCACCAAACTTTGCGTCTTGCCCTTGGGAATTTTAATCCCTGGGAGCACAGTTTTAGCTCTCAGTGGTGGCAGCCACCTTTGTCACCCCCAGCTGTGTCAGCAGCTCTGGTGTTAGAGACAAGACAGTGAGAAATTGCATTTTCACTATTATTCTCCTAATTTTGGCCTTTGGCAAGACACAGTGTGCTTCACCCAGAGCCTAAGCTTTTCCAACAGCCTTCCACTCTGCTATGCTGCCTTTTGTTTTGCTTTTGTTTTGCTTTTCTGGGGCTTTAGAGTTTATTCACTATTCAAACTCCCAGATTATTCACTAGAAAACGAGCCCTTTGTAGGGCTAAAAGACTTTCCTGGTGAGAAACCTGAGCAGCTCCTGTAACCGCATCACTCCAGAAGATGGGGAACACAAAGAAACACTAAATGGAGGAGTTTTTTTTCAATATAACTGAGATTTTTCAAGTCAGAAAATCAATTAATAACCAAACAAGGTTTGGTTTGTAATGATTAATTACACCCCACTTTGAAATGGAAGGGCTGGGTAACAATGAGGGGGAGAATGTTTTCCAGCACTAATTAGGCAACCACCATGTATCAAAGTGTCCTTGCCTGTGGCAGGTGGTTGGAATGAGTCCAGGGGGTCTTTAAGCTCCCTTCCAATCAAAACCATCCTGTGATACCACGATCATCACCAGTGTCCTGCTGGGACACAGAGAGGATCTTCTGAAGGTGTGACGCCCACCAAAAAGGAATTTTTCATCACCAAGCTTGATCTGACTTCTCTGATGTTTTAACTCATTGTGAATTCCATGTTTTCAGCCACCATTCCCAAAATGCACTTGATATGGCTTTAAGTTCTTTAGGGAAGATATAATCCCAATTTACAGCATGCTGTGGTCACACTCATGGTTCCCACTCTCCCAAGGGAGCAAGCAAGGCTCCAAACCTTTCTCCCAGAGCCCTTCCCAAAGCCAGAGAACACCCTCAGCCACAGCTGGTACCAACCTCTCACAGGAATTTACAGCACAGCTTCTGCAGGAATAGTTTCAAGACATTGCTGCAGGCAAGATTTCATGAGGATTTCCTCAGTTTTGGTCCCAGGTTTGTTGGGGGGCAGGAGTGGGACAATCCCCTATCCTGGGAGATGGGATGGGAGAAGGAAGGCAGAGGGGCCCACAGGCAGCAAGCAGGCTCACATCAGCCACATGCAGCCCCTGCCAATCTTCTTGGTCTTTCATTTAAACTGAAAGATGTTGCTGGTGCAATAGTTTTCCACCACCCTGTCTGCCTGGAAGTCCTTCCTGAGCTGGTCTGGCAATGTCCTCCTTTTGCACCTTTTTTTAGGTGCAATTAGTGCCATAACAGTCCATTTATTTGTTTGGGTGGTGTCCCCAGAATGGCGACTCTGACTGATGTTTCATGGGGCAAACAAATCGCACACACCCAAAATCATCCTGAAGGCAGGTCAGGCTCACAACATGCTCTAGAAGGACTAGCAGCCCCTCCTGCTGCAAGAAGACAGGCTCTGTAGACCTCTGCATCCAATCACCTTAGGAATCCCACGGTATTTTAATAATTATTTACTTAAATAAAGGATTACAAAGTGCCCTCCTGCCTCCAAATCTCCAGACACGTCCAGCACAGACCCGTTTTGTCAGCCCAAAACCAAACAACAGCTGGATTCTGTATCTGGAGACACAGTGGGGATAAAGGTCCAAATTATCTAGGCCAAAACCATGGCAGTTTTAAGGAGGAAGAGTGACTGATTTCTGTGGCACATGGTCCGTGGAGGTGCCAGGATGCACAGAAATAACAGGCTTCTTGTCCCGGGGATGACAAATGATGCATTCTCATGGCACAGTGCTTGTTCCTCCGGGATGGAGTGATGGATGAATGGATGGAAAGATATCTGCCTTCCAGCTCAGGGAATGAGCAGGGAGTGGGGACATGGAGGGGACTCTGCTGCCCCTCAGCCCAGCAAAGGCATGCCATGGAGGTGTCCAGGGGAAGGGCCAAGGGCAGGGATCGAGGTGATCCCCGGGGAGGAGTGTGGGAAAACAGAGACGGGGGGATGAGAGGAGGGGCTGAAGGTATGTGGGGTGCTGGTCAGTGCACTCGTGCAGCTGGGTCCTGACCACCACAGGGGGTCCTGTCCCCATCACCCCCTGGGCTCGGCCACCCACAGCTGCACTCACAGGGGCTGCCACTGGCTGCAGCATGACAGTCCCACACACCAGGTGGGAATAAACCTCTCATGGACCAAACTGATGGGACCTTTCCCTCCTCTTATGACAAATCTCCAACATTCCTGCAGACCTTGTTCTTGTAAACAAGTGAGCTCTTGAAATGATTCAGGGTTTTTACTGATAGAAACTGTGTAGGACCTTTACCCAGAGCATACACATCTCGTTTTAAACACAGTGCCACTGCTCTGCCAGGAAACAGCACAGGACCAGTGTGGGATTTGCTACCAGACCTTGCTTCCAGTGACAAGCGAGTAAGACATGACAACTCCTTGAAAGTCTGCAGAGAACAACGATTACATTTCAGGCTCTATATGCTTCAAATACACCTCATGGAAGTTTTTGGACAATGCTCTCAGGCACATGATATGATTTTTTTGGGTTATCCTCTGAAGGGCCAGTAGGTGGACTCGATGATCCCTGTGGGTTCCTTCCAGCTCAGGATATTCTATGATTCTGTGTCCTGCAAAACCGCACTGGGGTTTCACCCCCTGTTAGGCTCCCACCACCCTGTGAGAGCCTTAAAGACTGTTCCCTTAGTGTCATACACCCCACCCTTTGTCACAACACTGCAAGTCTCTGACCTGAACAGAATCACGGAATCATTTAGGCTGGAAAAGACCTCCAAGACCTGGCAAAGTGAAGCTCAAGAGAGAAAGCCCCAACTCGAACACCGCACTGAAGTTACCTAAGCATCCGTGACACGCAAACAGCCTGGGAGCCCTTGGAGGAAGCAGCTGGGAGCTGACTGTGAAAATAACACAATTCTTCTAAGAAGCCAAAAAACCTGCAGAGCGCTCGGCAGGGCTGGCGCCGGAGGCTCCACTTGCCTTTCCAACCTGTGCTGTGCCATCTCCCAGCTGTGAAGAAAACATGGAAAACTGCCTCTCTTGGAGGTGCCGCTACAGATGCTTTTAAGGCTTGGGGCAACCTCCTTGTTGCTTTGGCTTAAGCAGAAAATAACAAGACCTCTGCGTCAACTTCACAAGGTTCTTTCAAATTAAAAGACCTGGAACACCGGAAAGAAATACTCATGGCAAAATTAATCCCTACACTGGAGCAAACTGGAACTAAGGCTATAGGTTATTAACAACTTCCAGGGATTACCTGAACCAGAACTTCCCGCAAAGTGAGTTTTAATTCGGCACCCCAAGCACTCGGCTCCCTCTGCCCTTACCTTGGAGTGCACCCAGGGCTTTTCATGCTGCTTCGAGCTGGGAAATGTCTCATTTGCAAATCGATTCCAGCACCCTTTTCATCTCCTCTGCCTCTTAGTGCCCACGCACCTATTTCTAGCATCCCCTCCCGGCTATAAATGGGTAGGTGAGGACACAGGGAGTGGCTAGGTGTTTCCCAGAGTGGGTGGGAGTTAATTAATAAGCCATGGAAAGCGCTGGTGTGGCAGGACATCAACAGAGGTATAAAAAGCTGCCCCAGGACACAGCATTTGCAACAGCTTTGCAGGGAAGAAAAGGTTTGGCAGGGACCCCTTAGTGGGGACCACCTTCTCTCCTGGCTGCAGGAGGGAGGTGTGGGGGGCTCACAGCAGGATCCAGGCAGGGTGCTGGTGCTGTGGGGCTGGTGGAGGGCACTGGTCCCTTTGTGACCCTGAATGTCACATCGCCTGGGGCCACAGTCAGCGCCTGCTGTGCCTTTCCTCTGCTTCTTGCACAGTGGGTTGGGACTGTAATTCCCCGCCAGACACATTCGGTAAGAGAAAATTAGGGACATCAGCAAAACAGGAATGGCGCTCACCTACTGAAAATTCCTCTTAAAACATTTAGACTTCCCACTTTTTGGTAAAAATGGAATTATTGTAGCTGGAGGTTAACAGCTTAGACACTTGGCTGCATCCAGGCCTTGGTGGGGGGAGAGCTCTTGCCCATAATCGGGCCTTATTTTATGGTTTGTTTGCAAAATTACTTCTTGGTGTTAACTACCATTGCAACCTGCATTATGCAGGAATTTAAAATTCCACTGAGGCTGCTGTACACCAGCACTAGACAAAGTGGGTTTGAGAGTTGCAAATTGCCCTGGTGAGAGCAGGATTTGTCCTGCAGCTCTGGAAGTGGGGTCATCTCCCTCTTCCCTACGCAGAGATGAAGCCAATGCTCTCCTCATTTGGGCAAGAGTGTTGCCACATCTCCCAGCCTGGATCAGGGGGGATTAAGTTGTTGCTTTTCATCTTTTACGGCCATGCCACGTTCCATGCATCTCCTGGTGGTCCCCTTTCCCTCCCCACCCACGGTGTCACCTTCCCAAACCTCGTATGCTGTATCCCAACCTGCCCCACCAACGGCCAAGTCCTCAGAACTCCTTCACCCGTGGTGCTCTGTCTTCAGAGTGCCCAAAAACGCAGCATTTCCTTTTAAATCACAGCTTCCCCAGGCCAGCCCCAACCCCAGTGCTTACCAAGATCAGAGATTAGCAAGGTGTAGGGTTGCCTTCCCTGAGTTTCTTGCTAGAACACGAGTCAATGTGCTCTTTTACGGAGAATTTCTAGGGTTACTCTTGGCACAGCACCCGCTGCTGCTGGCAAAGGGGGCCCATTTCATCGACCTCTTTCTCCTGTTACGTTGCACACGTCAGCTGTGCCACTTCTCGCTCAGGAGCTGGTAGAGCCCATGGATCACAAAAGCCCATTTTTTGCACTTTTACAGTTGATTCATTGCTCTCTCCTGGGCTGTTGCACGCGAATCATTAGGTTTGGTTATGCCAAAAAAACCCCCAAAACGATGCCAGGCGAGATATTTGATTTCATATGGGAGTGGGCTGCTCGGAGACCAGGGCAGTGAAGGTCAGCCAGCTGATGCAGGATTAGTGAGCTGGGGCACTGGATTCACAGCTCCAGACTGGCTCTGCTCCATGTTGGGGGGCAGTCCCTGGGGGGGCTCAGCCCCGTGCAGCCGTTCGCTCGTACCCCCACAGTGGGATGGGGACAATCAGAGGGGTGAATCTGCAAAAACTCATGGGTTGTGATAAAGGGAAGCAAAGCTTCCTATTCCGGGAGAGCCGGGCTCCATCATGTGTAAAGGTGACTTTGGAATGCCCTCCTTCCTCCCTCTTCCCCAGCTTTCATTGCTGAGCATGGCATCCTACACGTGGGATATCCCAGTGGTCAGGCGGGGTCAGCCGTGGCCCCTCCCAGCTCCTTGCACACCCCAGCCCCTCACAGGCGGGGCAGGGTGAGGAGCAGAAAAAACCTTCACACTGTACAAGCACCACTCAGCAGCAGCTACAACATCCCAGTGCTTCCATCACCGCTCTAAACAGAGCCCCAGACCAGCTACTGTGAAGAAAATTAACTCTATCCCAGTCAAAAACCAGTACAGAGAGAGAGGCAAAAGCAGTACAGAGAGCCAAGTGCTTCCTCACTGTGCCAGAAGGCCACTGCTCCAAAGTGCGGAGAATCTACATCATCCTAACATTCAAATCTGCCCCAGAAAAATATAGAATTTTGGAAAAGAAGTCCCTGCCACAATGATTCTTTGTAAAAATACACACACATGTACCTACCCTGTCTCTCCCCCCATACAACAGCGCACCACTATTTGAAAGCATCATTGAGAACATGGAACAGGAGAGTAATGCTGGTGTTTAAGGTCTAGGAGAGCTCCTGTAAAATAACCCTACAATAACTCCTCCCTTTTATTCCCTCAGGGAACTGCTCTATGGTTTAGTGAAACAGTAAAACTTACATGGAGCTTTAGGATCTTCATGTGTAAGGAAGATGGTTAAGTGGATCTGTGCCAGAACTTCCCTGGCCACAGCACTAGGTTGTGTGTCAGCCTTGACTCCCTCCCGAGCACTCTCTCCATATGTAGCTGAAAAGCAGGAGTGTGGAAAGTTCTGCTTCCCAAAAAGAGCCTTTCACGTGGAAAGCCTGTATTTTAAACAGTGATGGTCAGTAGTTTGGGGGAAAAAAGAGAAAGAATGGTGTAGGAAAAAGGCAGAGAATATAAACAGTCTGATTTGGAAAGAAAGAGCTGCATCAGCTTATCCTAGCAGAAAGCAAATCCTGCCTATTTTCCCCTCAAAAACATCATAGACTTTTCATATTTTTGCATCACCCCACATGCAAGCAGCACAGGCTGGCTGTGTTCCATGGGCTGTCTTCTTCAGAGGACCACAGGATTCTAGAATCATTTCGGTTGGAAAAGACCTCCAAGATCATCGAGTCCAACCTGTGCCCGATGCCCACCTTGTCAACCAGACCTGAGCACTGAGTGCTCATTCCTTGTCATTCCTTGGACACCTCCAGGCACGGGGACTCCATCACCTCCCTGGGCAACCCTTTCTGATGTCTAACTCTTTCTGTGGAGAAATTCTTCCTTTTTGCTAATGACGGCTTTGTTCACTCTGCTTCACCCAAGAAGAGGTTGATAAGCTCCTCTCTGACTCGTCCTGAGGAATGGAGAGGTGAGGAGTGTGCCATAGCAGAGAGAAGGAGTTGAAGGGACAAGATGGGAGGGCAGGACTAGATACTGGCAGGCCATGTAAGACACAGAGGTATTCCTGTCAAAAGCATCCATGTGGCCAAACTGAGAGAGGTGTGATCTTAGAACTGTATTGGGAAGGGTGTTTGCAACATGGTGCTGAGCATAAGCCAGCATCCTTAATGCAATCCAACAGCTCCCAGTGTTGTAGAGATTTGTGTTCTGGGCTAAAACAGAAGAAAACTGACTCCCCAGGATGATTCCTCTTCCAAGGAAAAGGCTCTGGATGGAGCTTTTATGTCACTGCTCTGCAAAGGAGCCAAAATCACTGGAAAGCAGCTAGCAGAGAATACAGCTACTGTGTCCTACCCTCATGGCATCCAGTAAGGCTTCCCAAACCAGCACATGGGAGTAAAAACCACCAACGAGCACCCTTTGACCACAGCCAGCTTCCGACCTGTCCCACAGCCCAGGCAGCTGCTCTGTGCCTTGCCGGCTTGTCCAGGAGAATCACAGAATCACAGGATGGTTTGAGTTGGAAGCTCGCCTCGTTCCGACCCCCCTGCCATGGGCAAGGGGACACCTTCCATCGGACCAGGCCGCTCAAACCCCTGCCCACGCTGGACAAGACTATGGGAAAGAGCATCAAAGGCTTTGCTGACACCCACGTGCAGGGCTTTCCCCACGTGTAGGGGCAGCTAGACAGACACCACCATCCACCTGGATGATAAAAGAAGAAGAAGAAAATACTAAAGTAAAAGTATTGTGGTCCTAAGCTAGCCAGAGCTAAGATTAGCGTGTGTGAAAAGAATCACAAGGTCAAGCTGGAAGGCCCCTTGAGGCATAATTGTTCTTTGTGAATGAAAGCAGTCACGTGGGCATGTGTGGGGATAAGAAACATCTGGCTTGCCTTGATGTCCTCTGTATACATGGGGTAAAAAATGTATATATGGGGGTAATAAAGTTATGAGGTAGAGCTGCCTGGACAACATCTGTCTCTGCGTGGATTAATTAGCTGCACCCATGTTGACAGAAAGTGTCATTTTTTTGTAGAAGGTGGTCAGGTTATTTACCTTTGGCAAATCCCTAGGCTCTTCCCAATCATCACCTTCGTTTGCATACAACAGAGCCTGGGTTAAGAGTGACAGGTGTTGGTAAATGCGGATATGACAAGCAAGCCCCAAGTAGACCAGATGACTCACTGCCATCTGTAGCGGAAGGGTGACAATGTGGTTTTGTACAACAAACCATAAATTACCATCTCTTCTGTTATTTCAAAACAGACTGTAGCAAATAAAACCAAACCCCAAACCAACAAAACCCACCACGATAGAATAGAACAGTCCAGCTGGAAGGGACCTACGACAATCATCTGGTCCAACTGCCTGACCAGTTCAGGGCTGTCCTAAAGTTACAGCATTGTCCAGGTGCCTCTGGAACACTGACAGTCTGGGGGCATCAACCACCTCTCCAGGAAGCCTGTTGCAGTATTTGGTTATTCCCTCTGCAATGTCCAGTCTGAACCTCCCCTGGCACAGCTTTGAGCCGTTCCCATCAGATCAGCACCTCCCTCTCCACGTCCCCTCCTCAGGAGGCTGCAGAGGGTGATGAGGTCGCCCCTCAGCCTCCTTCTCTCCGAACCAGACAAACCCAGAGCCCTCAGCCTCCTCCCAGGACATGTCTTCCAGCCCTGGCACCAGCATGGTTGTCCTTCTCTGGACACATTCAAGTACCTTCACATCATCTTTAATGATGGGGCCCACCCTGGCACACAGGGCTCCAGGTGAGGCCACACTAGTGCTGAGCACAGTGGGACCATCCCCTCTCCTGCCCTGCTGGCTGTGCCCTGTGAGATGCCCCCAGGATGCCTTTTGCCCTCCTGGCTACCACTGGTTCCTACTGAGCTGCTGCCAACCAGCATCCCCAGATCCTTTCTGCAGGGCTGCTTCCCAGCTGTCCCTTTCCCAGTTTATACTTGTGCTCAGCGTCACTTGGTCTTGGGAACAAAATCTGGCACTTGGACTTGTTAAATTTCACACCACTGACAACTACCCAATGGTCCATCTATCCAGATCCCTCTGCAAGGCCCGTTGTTCCTCCAGAGTCTGAAGAACTCCCATCTTGGAATCCCAGGATACTTTGGATTGGAAGGAACTTAAAGCTTATCTTGTTCCACCACCCTGCCATGGGCAGGGACACCTTCCATTAGACCAGGCTGCTCCAAGCCCCATCCTTTTGGATTATCCCTCTGGGTGATTATAATGTCACTGTTATTATCTCTACCCAGCCAGGTTGGGAGGGTTAATTTTACATCTCTCTGTGAGAGCAAATCATGACTTGCTGTCAAGGACAGATTGGAAGCCAAGGAAGCAGGAAATACTGACATGCCTACAGCCTGCCCCAGCCAGACAGATGTCCTGGGGTCCCCTCCCTCAGCCTGGCTGCTGACATTTCCCCTCCAGTTGATAAACCCCAGAAGCTGGGTCTCCAGGCACCCTCACTTCTCTGGGCAGTCTTTCCAGGACTGCAAACCTGTAGAGTGGGACAACACTGATGCCTATTTGGGACAGCCTGGAATTGGCATCACTAAAGAGGCCATAACCTGATGCTGTTGTGGGCTTTGGGATAAGTGTATTACATAAAACAAGCTAGGAAGAGCAACATCTTCACTTGGAAGATTTGCACCCACAGGTTCTGCTGTGTCTCTGATGCTTCACTTGCGCACCCCAAGTGAGAAAATGCCTCCTCTGGTTGGTGTCACTGAAAAATCAGAGCGAAT